TCGCGCCCCAAGAGCGTGGCAGAGCGGGCAAGGACATGGAGGAGCGCGGCAGAGCGTGAGCGTGTGCGAGCAGGGACACGCGGGAGCGTGCCGCGGCGTGCAAGAGCATGAAGGAGCGTGCAAAAGCATGCACGTGTGAGCAAGGACGTGCAGGAGTGTGCCACAGCGTGCAAGAGTATGAAGGAGCGGGCAAAAGCATGCACGTGTGAGCAAGGACGTGCAGGAGTGTGCCACAGCGTGCAAGAGTATGAAGGAGCGGGCAAAAGCATGCACGTGTGAGCAAGGACGTGCAGGAGTGTGCCACAGTGTGCAAGAGTATGAAGGAGCGTGCAAAAGGATGCGCATGCAAGCAAGGACATGCAGAAGCGTGCCAGAGCGTGCATGTGTGAGCAAGGATGTGCAGGAGTGTGCCAGAGCGTGCAAAGACATTAACAAGTGTGCGAGAGCATGCACGTGTGAGCAAGGACATGCAGGAGTGTGTCAGAGAATGCGTGTGTGAGCAAGGACGTGCAGGAGCGTGCCACAGTGTGCAAGAGCATGAAGGAGCGTGCAAAAGCATGCACGTCTGAGCAAGGACATGCAGGAGCATGCCAGAGCGCGCAAAGACATTAAGGAGCGTGCAAAAGCATGCACGTGTGAGCAAGGACGTGCAGGAGCGTGTCAGAGCATGAAGGAGCGTGCCAAAGGATGCGCATGCGAGCAAGGACACGCAGAAGCGTGCCAGAGCACGCACGCGTGCGCAAGGACATGCGGGAGCGTGCCAGAGCGTGCAAGAGCATGAAGGAGCGTGAGAAAGGATGCAGGCGTGAGCAAGGACATGCGGGAGCATGCACGTGCAAGCAAGGATGCACGAATGCATGCAAGCGTGTGCAAGAAGGCACACGTGAGCGTGCAAGACCACGCGAGCGTCTCCCGCAGCCCCCCGCGCCGTGGCTCCGGGCTGCCGCCAGCCGGCGCGGGGCTCGCGCTCCTGTCCCGTGGCAAAACCCCCGGGGGAAAGCCCAATTTTGGGGGGGGGGACGGGGGAGCCCCACCCCAACACCGCAGGAACCGCAGCCGGTCCGCCCGCCCGGGCACCATGACGGGGCCGGGTG